TGAACTGAACTAAACTAAACTGATTGTTTTTCTATTAGGTCATCTACGTTGTTGGAGGACTGGGAAGATTAGAGCTCACGTCTCGTGGTCTTGCGGTGATTGGCTGACTGAATGTTCCATAACCCAGTCCGGTCTGCCGACTGTATTTGAATGATCTGGAATTTCAATACTTATGTTGTTCGTGTCCGTCAGTCAAAATATCCCAAAAGATTATTTTCAAAGTCTCTTCCAATCAGGTTGTGCAAGCGCAAAAATAATTTTGATATGAAGAAATGTGAATTAAATGGACTGCAGTAAAACAAAGCCGTTGGTTCCAGACAGTAACTTTATTCCTGTCAGAAACTGTAGGATTGTGAACTTACCATAAAACAAATGGACGCTTTCGGACATTGATTCAAACACTTTGGAGATTTGTCCAAGACTTTGAGTAATCCGATCCAAATCAAGATGATTCTGCGCATCGATTGCCGTCAAAATAGCCTAAATATATGGAAACCAGTGAGAGTTGCGATACATGTCAGTTGAAATGGTTTACAACCACAGATTGTGCGAACAGTTATTAAAATATAATATCTCTACTCCGAGAAACATTGAATGCAAGAAATCAAGAGGCATCTAAAAGTTGCTGTTTACCAGAAGGTGTCCACAACATCGGCTCTCTAATAATTCACTCTAAAGTTAAATAATTCCTGATCACGTGTGTGTTATCACTGATGACCTCTAAAAAAAACAAGAACTCTACAATGGGTACTAATCAATAAATCCGGTAATGCAGACACGATTATATGACTGAGAGGGCACAAAGCGAAAGAGTTGGCACATTTATTAGGTGGGAGCGGTACGCCTCCCATACACACACACCGAATGTGGGCGAGATGACAAAGCTCACGTGGCTATTTGAACTAGGCACGTGATCTCATGGTCGAAAAGTGGTTAGCGTGTGGCTGAAGGTCAATTAACGGTTTAAATTCCGATCAAAAACAAGAAATGAGGGAGACATAAAAGAGAAAAACATGACCAGATACTTCGTTGTTAATAGGAGAACCGGCTCCAAACGTAACTGGACTACACAGCTTCCAATGGTTATTTTTCACATGTCCTTGACAGATGAGTTCTATTAAGCATCACTTTTGGCCCGTCTAGAACTTTCCACGTGAGCTTTATAAACAGCCAGGCTGTACGCTTCTATGCGTCGGTGTTCAACAGATCAGCTGATTCGCACTTTCATTGGCTTTCTGGTCTGGCTAAGGGCACCAGGCTATCAAGCGGCTATCCAAACTCGAGTTCACGGTATTAAGAATGCATTAAGAAAAACGTGGTCCACAACAGGTGTACACAAAAAGCAGTTTCGGGCTTAACACTTCGACTTTTAAGAGTTCAGAAATTGGGGGCAACTAAATAGTGGTTTTCGTGTCCGACGGAGTGACGTCTGCATTACGGTCTGATCAAAACCCCAGGTCAAATTCATCGGACGTTCTGATTGCAGACGATCAAAGTTCAGTGTTGTCTTGGCCTACATATTGTCGTTCAAGGAAAGTCACTTCTGTTGCCGTCTCAAACCAGTCAAGCAGATGCAATGCGGTGAAAACTGACGAAGTGTTCAGCGGAGACACTTTTATTACAGCCCCCTTCTTTGACAAAAAGCGAATTTCTGAATTTTCTAGAGCTTATCGGTATCCGTCACTCCAGAGAAAATCTGGGAGCTCCAACGTGTTCACAAGCCCCCTTTGTTCCACAGTCTTCCCTTGTGCTCCAAGCGGAACGATGTTTCTTGATAGGTTCCGTAGCCTGAAACCCAGTGGTTTAATTGTGCCTGAAATCGATAATCCACTGCGTACCGCGTCACAACCTATCCGACAACATCCGTTTCACTACCTTGTATTTCATAAGCTTCAATTTGTCGACATCATAGGATAGATTACTGTCAACCATAGAATGTTGCTCCGGCTTGATGGGATCTCATTACTTGCAAAGGAGCTGTAAACTGCCGATATCTCTTATCAGTCTATCTCAGTTACAGTTTTGGGGTTTTTCGGGACAGGTATTTTGTTCATAGTCAAACCGCTCTCGTTTGAACGGTCGTCCTCCTGTTCTGGCGTAATTATTTCGGTGAGTCCACACCAAACGGAACCACTGGACTCGAGTTTCGCTCTTATTAGAACTCATCAGCAGTGCATATCCAGCGGCCGAGCTGGGATTTGAACCCCGGACATCTGACATGCGAGGCGATCGTGTAACCACTACTCCACCAACGCACGTGCACGTTGGACTGAATTTTCACGTCTGAACAGATGAACGGGTTCACACTTGAGCGATGTGATCGGTGTGCCCGACTCAGTTAGTATGTCTCAGTTAGTATGTGCGCAACAGGACAGCCACGAAAGTAAGGGTAACAGTTATAAGGAAACGATTTTTCCTGGCGCTCCCTTTCAATTTGTCAAACAGAATCATTCCTGTGACATTTCAACCATGATATCAAATCGTCCTTCGAGAAGGACCTTTGACGTTTTCTGTCGGCTTTCGGCTTTTCAATCGGCTCAGCAAACGTCGACTAAGGACCATAGTTGGGATGAACCGTCTGGTGTTTTCTCCATTTCGAGAGTCCCAGTGATTTTACCGAATCTCTCAGGAGGGATATGCAGAGATCAGATACGATATACTTCTGGAATATACTGTGAGGGAAGGATACCTGAAATGTTTCACACCTTCAAAAGAAACAATTTTGGTTGTTCAGTCACGTGACTTGACTGAGCTGATTGGTTCTCCTTCCGGCCAAGGATACTCCACAACTTAAGGGTTCAGAATTTTTCGAGACATATTCGATTAGTCCCCAACATACCACACCGTATTCAATTAGCATCTATTATCTTGCTGATGAATAGGAAGAGCCTGAAGTGGGTGTCAGAGTATTTCCTTCAATAAATTTTGCGTTCCAACATTCGATGTTTTACGCTGTAGTAGTTGCCTTGAGACAGAAACGCTAAACATGGACCTTACCTCGAATCCAACTTTGAAGAGGCGCTAATAACGTGATAACAGGGGTCAGTTTAGTAATATATAATTGATTGCTCATCACAAGCGAGAGATTCAACTGGGTTCCAAGTGAGTCTATCGAAAAACCAAATTAGTTTGCAAATGAGTGTATATTCGCTGACTGCTCAGCTGTTTACTGGATGTTTGTATTGCCTGTGGCGACCCCGGTCTGTCGAGCGTCTAGTCTAAAGGGACATAGTGAGAAGTGGTGCACGTACTGGCAAACACGGTGCAAAAGCGATTTCAATACGACCACCCAGTTCAATGAACGGCTTCCAACCAGCGTGATGCGTAGGCGCATGAATCAGTCTCGGTGATCTGAACAGTTGATGAACATGAAAAATGGAAAAGATTTAACTCAGGTATATGCGTATTACAATATATTTATATAATATGATAATATAATAATCTAATATTACGATATACTATAATACATAATAACATAATATTCAAATACATTTCTGGAATATACCGTGAGGGAAGGATCCCTGCAAGGTTTCACACCTTCATAAAAACAATTCTGCTAGTTCAATCACGTGACTTGACTCAGCTGATTGGTTCTCCTTCCGTCCAACCTCGCAGCTTGGTCACTTGGCCTGACGAAGCTTTTGTGTCCAAAGCGAAAAGTTGCCCAGCAATAAATCTACCGATTGTCACCAAAATTTTACGAAAACCAATTCTGTTTGTTGGTCAAATTCGTATCACTGTCATTACTTGAATAAAATGTCGTCTAACCAAGCTGAATTCTGCTCGAGCCTATTACGGAAACCCAGATAAACAATGTGCTAGATGAAAGATCGGACAAATGTTGGGGACCTAGATCAGCGACCTTCTGGTTACCTGAGTGGACAACAACTCAGATTGCACATGCGCTCCCATATTCTGCAGGGTTAGGTTAGAGTACCTTCCAATTAAGTGATATCCAGTGTTTTTCATCCCATTTCCACCTTCCAAAAATATAACTCTTAGAACGCGTTTCATAAAAAACAATCCCACTCAGAAGTTCCGTTTCAGTGCAAGACTTCTACCAAAACTTGTTTCTAACATTTTGTGTGCATACGTTGAGTTCCTTAACCCAGTACATGTCTGGAGACCAGCGTTTGAATGACAGCCATCATCTGGTGTCTTTTCCCAGTGTTATAGTCTGGTTGATCAGCTGTTTACTGGATGTTTGTATTGCCTGTGGCGACCCCGGTCTGTCGAGCGTCTAGTCTAAAGGGACATAGTGAGAAGTGGTGCACGTACTGGCAAACACGGTGCAAAAGCGATTTCAATACGACCACCCAGTTCAATGAACGGCTTCCAACCAGCGTGATGCGTAGGCGCATGAATCAGTCTCGGTGATCTGAACAGTTGATGAACATGAAAAATGGAAAAGATTTAACTCAGGTATATGCGTATTACAATATATATATATAATAGTCTCGGTGTTCTGGACAGTAGGTGTACATGAAAAATGGAAAAGAAAGAAACTCAAGTATTTGTGTATTACAATATATTTATATAATGCAGTAATATCATACTATAATGTTGTGATATACTATAGTACATAATAATATAATATTACAATATATTACGATATTTAACATATCTGAATGAGTATGGTGTTAATGGACAGGGAATCGAGTGAGATGACATTGGCTACCCATCAAAGAACCATTAGTTCAGGTCGCCAATAGGATGACTTGAGCTAGTCAGCTCGGGGGGTGTTGTAGCTGTGTGTTCAGCACACGATGCATGTGTGGGGGGAGTTGAGTTGGACCATGGTAAGTACAACACACGAACAAAGCGTTTTTGCCGACAAAGCATCGGATCGCGATGTCGTATGGCTTGTGCTTACAAAAATCCATTTTTACTCACGGAGATAAAAATTCGATGTTTCCCAATACTGATTCGTGGCGGTACCAGTTAACAGAACTCTGTTCTTCCAGCGAGAAAGAGGCTGATACAGTCGTCAGACATTTAACTCGTGTGAGTAATACTCGAGCCTCATGAAACTGACCGAATCGATAAAACAACTGACACGTTTGCCTATACTGTGGATATCAGCCAATCAGAAGACATATAAATTAGAAAGCAAACATGATGGCTTACCGTAAGTAATAATAATCCGTCAAGGTCGGTTTGGGTACATAGTACTTCAAGTACAACCACGTGGTTCCACTCACGCGTCGATGATGTCGACTAAACTGGTGATGAAGTGATTGCAACTACCTTCAGCAAGCAAATCAACTGCTATCATTACAATCTGAGCTACCAGTGCCCTGACCAGTAACTGCCATCACTACAATCTGAGCTACCAGTGCCCTGACCAGTCGAGATCACTTCAAAACTTTTGAAACTATGAACACAGACCAGCTTTGGTGCCCAGTAGGTGAAACACTCAGGACGGTTTCAAGAACACTTTTCCAGCGGGACAAGACTAGTAGACCAGCTATCGATAAATTGCTGTTGTTCAGGACAACTGAGCTCAAAAGTTCGAAGAAAAATCAATCAGTTTGCTTGAGGACTTACTCGTTTTCTCCAACGTAGAGGCAGTTTCCAAGAACTAGATCTTGATGAGTGGTTATGGGGTGTAATCCAAGTTTTTCGGAAGTTTCAACCAAGGGAATAGCAAGTTGCGCTGGAATAGACTGTTCCAAACAGTAAAGTCCAAGGGGGACAACGTGAATACATACAGTTTACTTATTGCGCAAGCAGGAACAAAACGCCAAAATTATACAGTATTCTCAGCATTCAATGGACTGGATCAATGCCTGTCACTTCTCCACGTCACGCCTGTTTCAATGATTCAATACAGACCGGGTTCTCGTTTGTAAACAATTCATTCTTACATCATCTTTCCGAGACGGAGGTGCGTTTGTCAGCCGCGACATTTTGTCTGGCAACACCTGATTCGGGCTTGCCTTTCATTAGCCTGCGTACAGGAATCAACACGAAATGTCGAGTAGTTATTCCTCTGAGGCCACACCCATGAAAGGCAGTCCTCGATTCGACTTCTCTTCTGATTTGACATGCACTATTGATGAGTTTTAATAAGAATGAGACTCAGTCCCAGTACTTGCCCTCTTCGATGTGGATGCACTAGAACAATTGGGTCAGAACAGGTGGAAGACCGTTCAAAAGAGTGTGATGTAAGTTTGAGTTCTACTCATCCCGTAACCAATAAGAACAGGTGTCACGTGGTCACCTCAGTGGTTGTTGCTGCAAGGACATCTGTCACCCTGGCAGAAAACTGTGATTGGTAGGCACAAATGGTGAAAGCCGAGTCAACATTTGGCTTCTTCCGAAGCCAACATTATGTGGCTCGAATAAGGCGTCTGTGCCGATCTTATTCCACTGGACCCACAATAGCTCGATGAATTTGCACTTAGCATCAAACTCAGCCCCAGCAACCTATCTTAATTTTGCTATCGTGGCCAGGGTTTCGGTGGTCAATCTCTCATCGGAAAGCCAAACTAACGCCAGCGTTTGGTGAGCTGGGATGTGACCTATGATACCATCCTTTTGCCCTGACTTCCACCGGTCCAAGTGTGTCCCGTCCGCATCTTGGAAGATTAATCGGGGTCCTGGAAACAAGAAAGGTACCCTAACTGAATTTTTCTTGATCTATTTTTGTTTGTTTGGAAACTGTAAGACTTTTCAATACATTTTACATCAGGTTCGTGACGCTGGGTTGTTCAACATCTCCGTTTCTGCTGTAATCGTTGGTGATATTGACGAATACAGTTCATGGTTGATAATCTCGGCAATGATTCAGCGATGAGCAGTTATAACCTCTAAGGACAAACGCTTTTAACTTTCAAGAGGCGCGATAATACGACAGTAAACGTAGCTAGAGATTTCTGATGATCTGATCATAACAAAGTAAAATAGTAATCAAAGTGAATATTACAAAGTGCCAGTGTAACGATGGATACTACTGATGAACCATGCGAGTAGTCTACGGCCAAGCTCCATTCCGAATCTGATTGGAGGTGAAGTTTATTGGGAATTGTGGAACTGCTTTGCAGTGTTCGTTCATCATTATGTAGATTAATATCCAGGAAAGTTCAAAAGGGGGCATGAGAATGTTAAGCTTTTAAAAAATCTCTGCACATGAGATGCATACTTTTCTGTACAATGGCTTGCAACTGATTAATTTGTGTTTGCTAACAAATGAGCCTGCGATGAAGGGATTGTCCCCT